TTACCCAAGAGGGAGGCCGCCAAGAACGAATTCACCATAATTTGGAGGAAGTCACACAATTTTCATATCTTTCAGGAAGTGCAGCAGCACTACAGGGTAAGTGCTTACAACACAGGGGTATTGATCGTGGTCAATCATTAATGCTTTTGGTTGGTTTGTTTGCCGAGAAGCTCTTTTTGATTATTTTACATGATTGATGCAAGCAGAGAAGTATCCTAGATAAGGCCAAGATTCCTTTAGTGTATTATGCTCAAATAAGCATTTTTTACTACACTGCTGCAATTGGCGGGGGTGGTGGTGGTGGGGGTGGTGTGTGTGTGTTGTTGCGGTATTACAGAAACCAGGAGACGTGGAATTAAGTCACAAATAAAAGACATCTTCTCCAAAAAAATTTCCATAAGAAATAATAACTCTACCATTGCCTGCCCTCCTCAAATTTATAACATTCCAGACAAGTCTTGCATCTTAAATCAGCTGAACATACAATAAAATTAGCTCTCCAGGAAAGCTAATAAAGGAACGGACAATAAATAGAGTGGAAGTATAGAACAACAAGGACGAAGCAAATGCTGATGAAATAAGTAACAATACGGTGAAAGCTAACGGAAATTTGTCTTCTATTGCTGTGTTCATTTAGCACACAGGAGAAAAAAGAAAAACAGACTAAGCACAGTCATTAAGAAAAACTACTGAAAAATACTTCAATAAATTAAGACGGTTTTTATTCCGCGATAATTCAAAAATTCATTTTGATACTACGCATTGTCAGATCATCAGCAGTATTAAGGCAACTATGAATTATAACTGAATTGAAATTATTACAAAAATGTGTATATGCTTTAAAATAACACATTCATTGACCATCGTTTACATTTGAACTGCAAAAGAGGTGTATTTATTCTGCAACAGCAGACCAAAAAAACTGTCATGTATTTCTCAGGATGAATTAAAAAAACCCACAAGACTTTACTGCAAAAAATAAAAACCATGTCAGAAATCTAAGATCTGAAAATTTACGCTAAATATACCTCCAATAAAGTACTATCTTCCCAGCCTTTTGAACTGTTAAAAAAGCTCGGTAAAATCTCTCAGCATCTGGAGCCTAGTTTCCAACTCCGCAGAAAAGAGCAGAAGAAGTAAAAAGAGCCTGTCCATTTCCAGCTACAGCAGAGATGCCAGAGACACAAATTTACAAAGTTAGCGCAGTGCGATGGGCACTTTTGCAGCAAGACAGAAAGAAAATGAACTAGGATCCTGCAGATGCTTTGGCCGAAGTCTCTGGAAGAGACCTAGTAAGGGACCATCTGAGCCACATCTGGATCTAACCATTCCAGGAATTCTCACTTTTAAGAATTCAAAAAATCATCAGTTTTAGAAAGAAAAAGGAAGGACGTTGCGTGATGGTGCGTACAAAATTTTCACTATAAAATTATAGTAAATATACTTTGTTTCATTAAGTCTTGTGCCAGAGCAAGTTTATTAGAACACAAGTCGTGCAAATCCTGTCATGAGGCCTCTGCCTGAAAAGTTTACTGCAGAGAGTATTTTTCATGAGATGTGACAAATAATTAAAAGCTATACAGAAAAAAGGACTGGTTTTCCCTAACATAATGTCTCTGAAACAGCAGTGAATTTTTAATTTATTTATTCCAAATTAGAAAATACTAAATAAATATATATATATATATACACACACAAAAAGCTGAATGTCACGCACCCCACCATCTTCCTAGGAGTTTAAAATCAGCTGGTAGCCTTCACTTCTCGTACCTCCTTACTAAAAAAGCACTAGGGAATTGCTGACAGGGTTCAGCATTGTGCAGAATATTAAATATCTTTTTTGCAATACCCTGGTGACTCTTGAGTCTGTCTCTTACAGCACCATATGTACAGCTGTGTTGGAAAGAGGAAGCTATTAAATATATTAAAAAGTAGAAATATTACCAATAGACACTTCATCAAATAACTGGATCTCATTCATCCCCAAACAAAGCAAGAAATGTTAAGGTTACATCAACATAAGAAAATAACTCTGGATTTAATAACACCATGAGCCTGTTGAACATATTTGAAAGTAAAAACATTGCTTAATAAAACAGATTAGTGTTTCTGAAACAATGAATATAGCTTTCAACCATCAGAATGCTTTGCTAATAAAGACATTGGACTTGGTCTTGAAAGGCACTGGGTGTCTCAGTTCCCACACCACAGCCACGGCTAGAAGGTCTTCAGGTCCAAATATATTACCCTTAGTTTACTGCCAACACAGGACTAGGAATATCTTGTATCAAAAAGGATTTAATAAAACGGGAAAAAAAAAGAAAGAGCGTTTTGTTTGAGACCGCATTTGCAACTATATTCCTGAAAGTTTGCCCTCCTCCCATATACACATACATCCACACCTCCAACTAAGGCTTAAAGGAGACAGCAGCCACATACTCCCGCATGGCACCAAGGCACACAAGTGGGCAACCCTGGTAACTTTTCAAAAACATCCAAACGCTTAAGGACTCTGAATTATTTTTTCAAAAGTCAGTTTCAAAAAGGACATTTTTCTAGGTTTCTAAGCACCTAAAGACCCTGACAGGAACACTGGACTTCCAGTGACTCCTATCTCTCATGATTTTAAATCGGTGTTAAGTGAGTATGTGCTGCCAAAAATCCCGCTAACTGCCCAGCCACACTTTTACACGTACAGAAGACATCTGCAAGTACGGCCGAGCAGCTCTAGAAGCCTAACACCCATCAACTTTTAATAAGATTTGCAATCTTAAATGCTCAAGTAATTTCTGAAAATAGGACTTGGGCTGTTTGTACAATTTTCCCCAGCGGCCCCCATCTTCTGCAGTAGAGCTCGCAGGCAAAGCGCAGCGTTCTCGGGGAGCCCTGGTGATTTCAGCGGTGGTCTAGGGAAGCACTGCTGCATGGTTTACATAGCGTGAGCTCTTCTCTCACACTACAGAGCAAGAAATGAAAAAATAAAGAACACCTGTGAAGCCCTGCTGAGCACAACTTCACATAAAAATACTGAAGAGATCTGAACGTTTATTTAACTATCACGAGGACTATGTTAATTACCCCACTTGCCCATTTTTGCAATAATTTTGAAAGACTCCAATACTACTTTTGCTAAAATTGGTGCAAAAGCGTATGCTTCCTCAAAGGGAAAAGAGGTTTTGTTAATCACAGTAATACATGAATAATGTACATATTTTCCTCCAGTTTCTGAATACATATTTCTATGTAGATTTACAAAGTTTTTAGATAGCAGCGTTTCTACTTCATTCATCCACCTTGTTTTCTGTAAAGCAGCTACGTGTTTAAGGCATTTGCCTACTGACTTGCAAGATAATTACAACTGATGATTAAAGAATATTTAAGATGCATGTCTAAAGAGCACTGAAACTTCTTGAATCAAGTGTAAATAGAAATTAAGACCCTAAGGCTACAGGCATAACCATGTATTGCATAAGATAACTGGTTTGTCCTTAAAGAGATAAGCAATTAAAAAGCATAATACCTCAGACCATGAACCCACAAGAGATTCTGCACGGGCACGTTCTTTCCTATTATATGGTGAGCGAACATACTGTTTTGTGAAAAACTTAGTTTACAAAAAAAAAAAAACACCCCACACCAGGGCAAAGGCAGCTTTGACTTGTCTTTGGTGCTCCTCCAACCTCAGCCACTGCACACAAGCAGGACCAGGTTTTGAGATGGTTTCTGTAGAAACAGTTGTCTGATCAACAAGACCTGGCTGGTATTGCTGTACTGATTCCCACCTCCAAGTGCCCGCTCCAGCTCTGCTGGAGGTTCACGCCTCCCCTGCACAGTCAGCAACAGACACACGATGCCAGCCTCTTCGTCACTTTGATGCAAAGCCCAGCATCCTACCACAGGCCTACCATCACCAACAGAAGAAATACCAGACTTTAACATCTGAGATTTGGGCTCAGGAGCCTTTCTACTCCACTGAAGAGTCACTACAGGAGGAAAGGCACCTGGGGCAGGAACTTTTTAACCAACGCAGCCAGATTTGTCAGCGCTCATACGTCACTGCCTCCACATAGCTAGCTTGGAGGTCTCCATGCTGTTCTCGGACTGCTTCTGTGGGACAAATAAATACAAATCATGCACTCACTGGCACGCCTGTAGTATGCTTACACCTAGTTTATTCCCATAGAGTTTGGAGGATAAAATTGCATTGGTACCAGACATCTTCATGCAACCACGTCCTAACTAGAAATTATAACAATTTTACTAATGTAGTTGAAAAACCCAGGGAGTTAGATACATTTACAGTACAGCCTAATAAACCACTATGATGCTTTTTTTTTTTTTCCTCCACATTCCAGTGCCAGAATTTGCTGGCAAACTGCATTTTTATGACAAAGGCTTATTTAGGTAATGATGAAGGCTACTACAACAGCAGAAATTTCTCTTCAGTCTTCTCTGTTGAGGCCTGCTATACAGAGCAGCCTGCACGATTGCGGCCTAAGATTAATCAGGATCAGAAAAGCACTGTGCTGCTGTGGTGAGCCCTCATTAAGTCACAGTTCATTGACCGCTAAAACATAAATACAAAATACTTAAAGACACTTGGCTGCAGCAACTGAAGGAAAACATTTTTAAACAGAACGACAGCAGGCTTCGAGGCAGTCTGAGTCGCATACATGGCTCGAGCTGAGGCAGGAGTTGAACTGGGATATGGGCCTGAGCAGAATGAAGAAAAGTCTTTAGAGAAACAGACTGTAATGTTGCACACAATAATTTGTCAAAAAATGTTAACATTATTAACAGTCCTTCCCTGTGCAGGATGACCACTCTGATTACAGTAAACTTCTCTGGAAGAGGTCAGGCCACAATGACAGAACTGTATACGTTAGGTCCTTATTTCATTTCAAAGTATGCTGACAGTAAGGCTACTATTTCCCACCCTCCCCAAGTGCAAGTGTACAAGAAATACAAATTGTAATGAAAAAAAAAGAATCATCACTTACTCTGTTTTCCGTCTTTGCTTGTCTTCAAATATATCATTCAGACTTATTGCCACCTGTCCCAAAAACTTGTCCAGCCCCACCAGCGACCTGTGCATGACAATCAGGTACAGGATGTATTTTTCTGGATTCTCCTGCATGAGTAATCCAGGGAGCTCGAAGGAGGCCTCTTCTTTCCAGACGGGATCCAGGGTCTTCTCAGCCACTGAGGTGGAATACTTCTCCTTGCCCAGCTGTATGATGGTGTAGGCATCGTTGCTGCCATTTTTACCTTTCGGCTTCAGACCTTTGGCTTGAAGGACCGTAACTTGCACGTGAGTTGGGAACCACTTCTGGGCTTGCTCTGCCAACATCATCTTTGAAGATCGCAGCAGCAATAACAAAGTCTGTAAGTTACTGCGTAAGGGCACTTTCGGCGGAGACACCTGTCAGGAGCTCAGCGTGGTCCTTCCTCCAGCGCTCCTCGCCGCGGGTGGCACTCACCAGTCCTCAGGTTCCCCCTCCCCACGCAGCCCTACCTGCGACTCCATGGCTGGGGGCTGCAGGCTCCCCCCGCAGCATCGACACTACACCTCTCCAGCCCTCGGCCTCCTCCCTCCCGCCGGCCCCGCTCCCC